ATGACCTGAATGGAGCAGAAAATAAGCAAAAGAGTTCTGCAAATATTTCGCTCTTGTGCAGATATCCATATGGTAGGGAAAGGGATAAACAGGAGATCCCTGGGTCCAGGTTAGAGTTTGCACCGCAGCTTCTAAACTGCATGACCTGGGGAGAATTCTTTTCCTAATCCTCAGTTTCTTCATATGGAAAATAATCATCATTTTTACCTACAAGATGGACTTGTTATAAAGATCACATGAAAAATTCACATAAAGAAAAATATGAGAAAATGAAGAAATGGAAATGAAGTGTTTGCAAAGGGGGAGGGAGGAAGGGTGAAGGGAGGGCAGGGACAAGGGGAAAAAATGAGAACCAAGACCTGTCATGTAGAGGTACAAGATCCCAGTGATGAATGTAACTCTACTGTATACCTAAAATGTACCAATAAACTCAATGAGGGGAAAAAATTCACATAAAGCACTTAGCACATGGCTGCTGCATACTAACTGCCCCCAAAATTGTAGTGGTTACTATTATCTCTGTTTTGTGGCTGGTAGTATTTGAGATTTGAGGCGGACTGTCTGATTATAATAGCCCAGATCAACATGACTGGGCCCCAAACAGAAGCAAGGCATGTTTTGTCCAAACCTTAAATACCTTTACACAACTTTAATCCTTCCATTACAAAGATATATCATTTGTCGATTTTATGTTTTACAGATTTTTTTCCCAAAACATTTTTGAGAAAAGAGGCATAAAGGTAAGGAACCCTTCTACATGTACTGATGAACTGTGCTCACCCTGCCCTGTTCCAGGTGTGTTCCTGCCCTCTCCGCACTCAGGCACACAACCCTGCCCAAGTGCTGTAGGTGACAGGAGAGCAGATGTGTGTCAACGTCCACGCTCTAGGGCAAAGCTTTAACCCTGGCTCTGCCACCTACAAACCGAGTGACTGAGGGCATGTTACTTAACCTTCCTTCCTGAATAGCCAAAAAGTGAGGTTAATAACAGCACCCACCCCAGGGACCTGAAGGGACAACTACACTGAACCATCTCCATCAACACTGGTCCAAAGTCACCGTCCTCACCATGGGATGCTGGCCTCAGAAATAGCATTGTGTGTGCACCGTAAACATAAGGCACACCCATAGAATGCCAGCATGGCCCCTTTCTGTGCATGCTGACTATTTTTCCTTCTGTGGTCTGTCCTTCAGTGCTCTGCAATGACCAGTCTACAAAGAATGACACTTGTTTTATCCTCTGTTTGGAAGCTCAGTCATCCATCAGTGCTTCTAGAAATCTGGAAACCTTCAATTCTCATTTTAGGCCACCACAGTACACTTTGTGCGTTGCTGTTACCATTTTGTCTTTCAAGGCAAAACAAAATAAAACAAACAAACAAACAAACAAACAAAACAGCTGCTACATAGTACAGCTTTGCTACCTAATATTTCAATCCCCTGGGAAGAGTCAAGGCCTGAATTTTATATTAGTGACTATACCAGCTCTAACTGATGCTCTTTGATAAGTGCCCAATAATGCTATGTGGTCACGACAGACATTTTTTCCATGGCTTTGTTTGTTCAGCACCAGGAGAGCAATTTGCACATATACACATCCTGTACGAGTCAGTGCTTTCTGGAAAAACAGATTTAATGAATGATATACAAATATATAAGAACTCACAAGGTTGCCTTACAATGGCTGCCCTCAGAGTCAGGTATGGAAGGGTGCACAAGGTCAGTTTGCACTCCAGGGATCCGAAGGATCCAGCAGAAGGTCTGGAACTCACTGTGGTGTCCCGTGTGAGTCCATATCAAGAGGCCACTGGGTCTGCACGCTTAAGCCACAAGAAGGTGAAGGTGAAGACCGAAGCTCCTTGGAAGAAACAGAAGTGAGCCTTCCTTCTTTGTCTCCCTTTTATACCATTCTGGCAACAGTCCTCCCTAGGGTGGGTTTTCCACATCCAGAACTATGCTGAAACAGTCTAGTTGGACATTTCTTACTCCATGTGACACAATCAGTTATCTACCACAGTCCTCTATCATTAATTCTGTGAATGGTTTTTTATGTCACTTGTACTTTCTCCTGCTTTCTCATGGACTCCTCTCAGTGTTATGTTGTTCTTCTTTGTGTCATCTAGGAGCTGTCAGATTGATTTCTCATGTTCCCTTACTTTTTTTTTAGGAGATCCCTCTTTTCATGGTCACTGACTGCCATTCTGTCTTCAATATCTGACATCCTGTCTTCAGATTGGCTCAGTCTGTTATGTATATTTTTGGTAGAGGTTTTAGTCTCCTGTATATCTGTTTGAATCTGTTTCATGGATTCCATTTCTTTCCTATGTTGGGCATTCATGACTTCTTTCATGGTCCTGAGCTCATGTATGTTTTTATCTGTTTCTGTTCTAGAGACTCTAATCATATCTTTCATTCTACTCACCATCTCTGATCTTGGGAATTATTTGTTTTGAATTTTTGTAGAGCCTCGTTCATCTGTTTTGTTACTTCCTGTGCTATCAGTTCAGTGTGCCCAGATGGTTGATTATCAGACTTTTCTACCTTGCTTCCTCCAGAATTTGCCTTTGATGAACAGGCAGCCTTTGTTTGTGCTTGTGCCTTGCTCGAATGTATTCTCATTTCTATTTTTGTTGTTGGTATTGCCCTTGGTTTAATTCCTGGGTTAATACTTTGATCTTCCTGTTACTGCTTGTCTTTAGGTTTTGAGGCTCTGATGACTCTGAGGCAATCTTATTTTCATTATACCAGGAAGGACAACTGATTAAATCAACCACAACACCTTAGCCCAACTAATATAATCAGCAACACAATAGCATCAAGCATAGCTTAGAAAAATGACTATTTGTAGTAGTTGTTAATCTATCACCTTTAACTGTGTGAATTAAATCAAAATCGAGGCTAGAACTCAGAACAATGCCTTTACGACCCCCCTGTGCATCTGTGATATGAATCCAGGTACCAGCCCAGCCAGGAGGCCAGAGGTGGGGGATGGGGGAAGATGGTTGCAGGTGTCTCAGGGATGTGCCTCTCACTATTTGTCTGCCCAGGCCTGGAGGGTGGGACTGTGGTCCCAGGCCTCTTACAATAATTTGAATTTATGAATCCAGTACCATTATGAAGCCCATATCCAATGATTATGTATGTTTGCTGATTTTTTTTATGAAGAACTGTTAGCATGTTTATCCCTTAGCATGGAAAGAACCGTAACTACTGTTATAGAATATTTAATATTTATCCATCTTAACATTTCTTTATGCTGTAGGTAAATTACCGTGTACTATAAATACACTAAATCAAAGAATTTAGTCCTGGAAATAGAAGTTTCAGGAAGTATCTGTTAAAACTACAAGTCTGCCAGGTGACATAAGTCAGTGCTGATTAGAGGAAGACAGCTAATCACTTACAAAAAGGATGTCTGGTAACAGATTAACTAAGTGAAGTAATAGTGTCAGTCCTCCGCGGGTACAGCAGCACTGTCAGGGTGTTAAAGTTCATACCAAAGAGCAACTGCACAGCTCCCAGAAAGTCTCTGTGAAGAAAGCTCTTACACGATTGAAAAGGTAAGTGATGCATAGACTGGGTTGGATTACTGAGTCCGCTTTATTAAAATAGTATGCATGTGACTCAGGAGTAAAAAGAAATCAGCTGTAGCTTAGTGCTGTCGACACAACAAAATGAGCCACGTTCGACCAGTGACATTTTTACAGGGACTTGAGACTCCTTCCGGGTGTTTGCATTAGAATCTTGAAATACTGGGCCGAGGGGCTGAGAAGACAGGAAAAGCCTGGGGTTCTCAAAAAGGTGTGACCGAGTCATACACAAACACAAGCCTACTACATTAAGGCGTCGATTTGTGAGGCGGCAGAGTGAGCACGTGCGGCGATTGGACAGTAACAGCTTATCAATCAGTGACAGTGATTGGTGACTTCGATGCTGTAGGACTTGTGCTCCATAGAAAAGACGGACTGCACTTGCCAAGTCCCCTGAGTGGAGAAGCTGGACCCAGATTCTTCTCTCTCTTCCTGTGCATGCGGTGGGCTCTGCAATTGTTTCTTAACAGAAATTACAAGTAATTCTCATTTTCATCAGAATGTTGTCGGGTTGTTTGAAAGGTTATATTTGGTAACCAGAAACGGGAATCTTCTTTGACTTCATTCATATTTCACAGGATAGAAGCTTCAGGAAGTCGGAAGAGAGGAATTTTTGTGGATGACACAGTGTACTCAAAGATTAGGAAGATGGGAATGTGGAAGACATTGTCAAAGTACTGTTTCTTGCACCGTCTTGTTCCTATTTCTTTAATAATGAGTAATTTTCAGATGCTCTTGCTTATTCTGTTCCTGAGCTCAGAAACTTCAAAGCTCATTGCTAAAGCAACTCACACTGATGTATTAACGCGCTGTAGTAACAAGTTCATGTCAGGAACTTGAATCTGCTTCATTATACCTGCATGTAATGTTTGTTTCTCTCATGTTCCTACAATTATTTCTTCTTATTTTCTTTATCCATTAACTCTTTCTTACCCATTTTTAAATGTTCTCTGTCCTTCTACTATAAACTAATATTATTTCCTTTTTCTTTCTCTTCTCTCTCTGTGGCAGGCTATGGATTCAACCAAGCATTGAGTAAAATTATTTGGGGAGGAAAAAACTGTAACTTTTGATCAGATATAGATGTTTTTGCTTATCATTATTCCCTAAACAATATAGTATAATGACTATTTTCACAGTATTTGCATGCTATTGGGCATTATAAGTAACCAGAGATCACTGAAAGTATCATAGGGGAAGATAGGAGTAGGTCACATGCAAATATATGGCATTTTATACAAGGGACTCGGGCACCCACTGGTTTGGTGTCTGCAGGGAGTCCTGGGACAAATCCCTCCTTGGAGACTGAGGGACAGCTGTGCACAGAGCACTCCAGACCAGGTAAGAAGCTTATCTCGGGTGAATGTAGCCCCATAACTCCGTATGCTGTGCCTCTGTTTACCCACAGCCATGATGGACACCAACAAGATGGTCATCAACTTGGCGCTCTGGCGGGACTCAGAGTGGAAAGAGTTCCACTGGGAATGTGCTGCTGGGAAGCACTGAGTTCCATAGCAGCTTTTCCCCCTGTTCTGTCACCAAGGACTGCAGCCTGGGCCACAGCTGTCATCTCCACTGCTTTATGCACGGAGCGGGGCAAGAGGTCACCCTGCAGGTGCAGGTGCTGGATGCTCCTGGTTACCCACATAGAGAGCTGAGCACGAAGCAGGTGAAGCAGTAGCTTAAGAGGGCACTGGAACATCACTTTGGGCCAGAAGGCCTCCATCTAGCACTGCTGGACCAGAGAGCAGACACACCTTTCTGTGGACAGGAAGCTTCCTACCCCATCAAGCTCCTCCAGGTAACACAACCAACTATGCTGTCACTGCGGTTCCCCTGAGGGACACTGTTATCTTCAAAGGCAAAAACCATGAAACACTGGTTAAAAGAGTAGTTCAAGCCATAAGCTGTTAATCACAGAAGGGTAGTCAGAAAAAAATAGTTGATTTTTCCAGCAAGAGTCATTTTGGCCATTTCCTTGAGAGGAATTCAGCCATGCACTTTGCAACTGGGTCATAGAAAAAGTAATTGAGATACACATCTTCACATATAACTATGAGCTGCAGTCATCCCTAAGGACTGCAAACCTTAATAAATTTATACAGTGTGGTTCCTGGTTGGTAACAGAATCAACTAAGAACCATGGAAAGAGTAACTCAAGAGTGGTCACTATATAGCTATATTTTCAGAACTTTTTCTCTATATTTCTTCAAAAGAGTAAGAACTAAAATACTGGCTGGTACCCATCTGGCAGAGGAACAGTGTGCTGGGTGAATGTGACCAGGTGATTGAACCTTGCATTGAGCACCTGCACAGAGCTAATGCTTGTGCAGACCTGAGCCCTGCCTTTAAAACCTTACAGTTTAGAAGAAACCAATAACCAACTCAAAATAAGATAATGCTTGGAGTGCCAAAACAGTGTACTGTACGAGAGAGGGCTTCTTCCTAAGGCTGAACAAAATGGTAAGCATTCAGGGAATGACAATGCACTATTAATGGGAAAGAAACCAGGAATATTAGATGTTTTGCCTACCTCTGCATCTGCAGCATAGGAAGCTTTTCCATTCTAGCCACAAGGAGTCCACAGGTGCAGCATAAATGCCCTGTACCACCTGTGCCTAGTGGTGCATCCTTATATGCATATTTTTTCACTCATCCAGTTGTGTCCTGAGTTGGAGTTTAATCAGACCACGTAGAATAGAAGCTGAGCATTGTACTTACTTCTCCTGTACACACTGTGTAAGGGGCAGGTTCATGAACATGATTACTCACGATTTCTGGATACCGTTCATTGAGCTGGCCCATTTTATTCATGCTCTCCACTCTCTAGTCTGTGACCTTGCAGACTGAATTGCTGGACTTCACTAGTCTCTCAGTCGCTTTCCCTGTAGCTAGGACACAATACCAGACACAAGCAACTTAAAGGAGGGGAGGTTTATTCAGGTTCACAATTTGTAGAAGTTTCCATCCATAGCTGGATCTTACGTAGGACAGCGTGGCAGAGAGCAGTGGCAGGGAAGAAGTCAGCTACGATCTCCCCTAATCCAGTCACCTTCCACGTCTATCCCAGGAAGCTTCATGGGGTGTCTAGATTTGAACCACAACAACCAGTCTTACTCAGGAGCCTTCCTGGGCCACTGAGCTCAGAGAAGCCAGGTCTGCTAGAAACTCCACGGTAAACCACACGGAGAACGGACAGCAGATACGTTCCTTGCAAGATGCGTTGGTGTCAATGCCCTCACCTTTGCTCCAGGCTCAGGCCACGTGGATGTAGACCCTGCTACACCCACAAAGACAGCATAGTTTTCTTTAAGGAACATTTTTTCCTTTAACTGGCAAAGACAAAAAGATTGTTCCAGATGACACTAGTGTTTTTCAGTGATTGTGCATGTTTTTAAAAAATGAAAAAGCGGCGGGGCATATGTGTAATCACAAGGAACTAGCAGAAAAAATTAGGGTGACAAGAGCATGGGAACAATCTCACCACCCAACTCCTGAAAAACCAAGGGCAGACTGCACAAAGGCAGAGAAGGAAAGATGACTGCAGTTAGGACTTTCTGAGGAATCTCAGGAAGACTCTAACCCTCCCCAAGTTGTTAAAGCTTGCATTTCAAACAGTTTCTGGTAGAAATCAAGTGATGGGAAGCCTACATTCAGTATAGCAGTGTAATTTTTAAACACTCTTTAAAATTCCTTTTACGCTGTTATTAAGTAAACATTGAGTTTAAGCTATAAATGGATGTGATTCAGTAACTTCAGTAAATGCACGACGATTTCTCAAAAGTTGCTGTCTCTCTCCATATATCTCGTTATTTTTCCTGATGATGAACTTATGCTTTTTTTTTTTTGGTACCAAGGTTTGAACTCAGAAGGAACCTTGTGCTTGCGAGGCAGAACCACCGAGCTAAATCCCGGGCCCTATGAACTTAAGCTGAGCCCAGAAGGGTAGTTTCAATGATGTGTGTTTTGTTAATAGATTTTTGTAGCTTTAGAATATGGAAGAATACAGCAATTTAATTCTTTACAAAAACTAATTGGTACTTGTCTCTGTCTTTTAGAATAGCATCTGCCACATAACCCTGTCTTCTGACAACTGCTTTCCTAAGTAAGTTTCCAAGTCAGGAGTTGAAGATAGAAAAGAGGCTAGGGCAAAGCTCAGGTCTGGAATGGTTTTTGGTTTTTTTTTTTTGTTTGTTTGTTTGTTTTCCTAGTGTAAATGACTACTTCCTCCTATGAAAACTCGGCAGGCAAGACAGTCCTCAGCAAGGCCCTGTGGACCCATTCTGGTCCCCCTCACCCCCCGGCAGCGGGTTGCTGGTCCCCAGTGCACAGGCTGGCCCTTGATGGCTTTCTTCCTGAGGGTGAGAAGATAACCCAGCAGCCTCTGTCTGAGCCCCCAGGTTGATCAGGGGCAGCTGCAGATGTCTGAATTCTCCACAGGACCAGCAGCTGTTAGGAAGGACACAGGAGTCTGAGGTCCTCAGGTTCCAGGCATACCCTGGATTTATTTTTCTCCTTGCCTGATAGAAATGAGAATAGAACACCTGGTTCTCCCTTTTGCTTTACCCTTTAGGGGCGGTGTTGATTCCTGCCGTGGAAGGGGTTTGTAAGGCCAGCGCCAAAGCATTGGCCTCTTCTTCCCTCAGCCTTCCCATTGTTTCTTCATCTCTCCAAACTAGGGCTGTACTATTTTACAGAGAGGTCAGAAGCGGCCAGCTGTCATGAGGAGACATTTCCCCAAAGGATCTATTTGTCTTTATTAATTACAGCACAATGACGAGATGTCAGCGAGTCATCTCCCACAGTTGGGAAATCAAGGGAAAAATGATTCATCCGAATGTTATCTGGAATGCTATTTAAATGCTGATGGCTCAGAGAGGATATAATAAAGTCACCTCAAGGAAAGGGCTAGCAAGTGCTCAGGTTGTTCCTGGAGTTGAACCTTGGAAGCGGCAAAAGCCCACATTGTCCCCACTCTCCGGTACTGTGTATCACTACTGCGTCCGAGCCAGCTTCAGGAAGGCATTTCTGTCTCAGTCAACAACTCAGCTGTGGACACTGCACACAAGTGTGCACGCAGAAGGCTCGGAGAGACCAGTGCAGGGCCTGGACTTAATTGTAGGACAGAATTTTAGTTAAGAACAAAGCTGATGTTAGTAAGGCTTTCCTGGTTTCAGTTCCTCACCTGCAAAGTGAGGAGATAATTTTACCTACATTTTTAAAGAGTTCTGAGCATCAGGTGCAATAACTATGACATGCTTAGCACGGTGTCTGGGTCACAGTGGACCACAGGAAGGGGTAACACCCTGCTAGGGCTGCATTTCCCAGACTGTGATGAGTGTGCGTCCGCAGGCACCAGAGCTATAAAGGACACACAACGGAGGTTTCGGGCTGGGGTTCAAGTGCCCACTTAGCTGCTTATTTGCTTAGCAACCTGGGGCAAGTGACTTCTCTAACCTTCACTGGTAAAATTGGAAATGGTCGCAGTATCTGTTTCATTGAATTACTTTTGGCATCATTGGCATAGCAGGCACTTACTTTACTGAGATACCAGTGCCTGGCTGGTACAGAGTAGAGGCTAGCTGTGGTCATTATTATTGTTAGGATTTGTTATTGTAAAATTTGTCTATATTATTTGTAAAACTAAACTTCTTTTAAGTTTACTTATTTTCAGAAGAAAATAAGAATAAAATCTTGCCTACGTAGGTCTGATTTATAAATATAAAAAGTAACTTCCTTATTAATTTAGAAAAAATCTGGGGGGAAAACCTTGCTTGCTTTAATATGGTTAAATTGAGAAGCTCCGATTTACTGGGGAGAACGTGGGCCTAACGGGACTTTTGTCATGAGCCCAGGCTCCCCAGTATTCAGCCTTGTCGCCCTGGCGAGCTGTTTAACATCGATGGCCTCACTTCTCTCATCTGTACAGTGAAACCGCTTGGACAGATGCTCTCTAAGGTTGAACACTCTCAGCCTGATCCAATGAGGTCTTATCATTCCACCCTAGTCTGGTCTCCGAGGAGTACTTTAAAGTGGAGAAAGAGTAAGAGAACAGCATTAAAAAAAAATATATATATAAATGGTCCTTACTGTCCTCCTGTCCCATGATAATCTTTTTCTAAGTTGATGTAATAGTTGGCTTTTTAAAAAAATTTCCCCCTAAAAGGTCCAGATGCTATGATTTCATCAACCACAAACAAATGGGGCAGGACTGGTGAGGTCCTGGGAAAGTGAACACAATTCCTGGAAGACAAAGTTTATATCCTAACTAGTTGTCCCAGAAGGACTCAACAGAATCATACCCATTAGCAGTCTAAAACCAAATAACTCACGATTATAAAATTTCCATCGATCATGGTACTATATTTAAGTTGTTAACACCAGATAACTTACGTTAACATATCTTGCCCTCACAGTTTTTTGGTGAGCTATCAATCAACTGTGCTTTTTCTTTCTCTGGGTCTGCAGAGAACATATTTGTCCCCTGACATAGTGACCCCACACCAAGTGACATGACTTTCAACTACTTTCTGGCCAAAAATCTATCTAAAGATTAAATGCTAAAGCTGCCATGCTCTTCTGTTTGGGAAACTAAGTCAAAAGTGCAGTTTCTCTACAGTTTAGGACATCAGCATGCTTTCCTAGATAATTATCAATTTTCCAGTAACTGAACACATGGAGCTTGCAAGCTTAGAATCTATTATCCTTGGGTTCTTCTCCTCCTTTCCCCTGAATGACATAATGATTTAAAGTATAGGAAATGTCCTGTCTGGCAGAAACAAAGAGGAAATGTGTTGTTGAAACACAAAAAAAGAGGGGACAGGGATTTAGCTCAGTGGCACTGTTCCTAGCTTTTAAATGCGAGGTTGTGAGTTCAATCCTCAGTACCAAAAATAGAAAACCAGGAACTACAGGAATATGATGAATATCATACCATTTAACTCAATAAATACTAACCTAGCAAGATAAGAATTCTATGTTGTGATACATATCTCAAGAAAGAACTGTCCTACAGTTTATTTAGAAAAATAAATATTTGGTGATTGTCTTACTTTCCTCATTGCTGAGACAAAACACCCAACACCTAAAGGTAAAAGAAGAAATTATTTCAGCTTACAGTTTGTTAAGGTTTCGGTTCGTAGTCAGCTGGCTTCAAGGCAGAGTGGCAAGGCAGAAGGGGCATTGCAGAGGAGAAACTGTTTATGGCAGGCAGAAGGCAGCAAAGGCATCGACCATCAAGAGCAAGCAGCAGCAGCAGCAGCCAGCCTTTTCCGTTTGTCCCTGCTAAGCCACCATCCTTTTGTGTGGTGCCACCCACATCCAGGGTGGGCCTTCCTTAATCCCAGCGTCACACACTCTACATCCAGCCATCTGTGAAAAGCCCCACCTGGGAGCACATGAGACTTTGAGGGGACATCTATATACAAGCCATAACAGTGATATTTCAAAAATAATGACAAGTGTGGGCCAGGTATCGGTCAATAAATATCCATGAGGTAGGTTCGGGTCATGCTCAAGGGTGAAGAGCAGCAGCTTTTCACTAACTTGCACATAAATATTTCTTTTCTTTTCTTTTCTTTTCTTTTTTTTATAGGGGATCAAACTCAGGTCCTTGTGCTTGCAAGGCAGGCGGCAGAACCACTGACCTAAACCCCTGACCCCTCAACATTTCTTTCTTATGACCATATGGCCACATCAGAGATGTACTGAGTATCAGATCTGGCTATAAATTTGAGAGGCTTTCAGAGATAAGTGATTAAGGTCAATAGTTGCAGGGAAATAAAATGCCAGTATCACACAATCCCCAGCCATGTTCGTTATGTTAATCTCCTAATGATTCTTCAAGGAATCATTCCACAGAGGAAATTTCTTGATCTCTGCCATTTATCTCACTTCTCACATCTACCCAACACTGGACTATATGTTTATCTCTATAACTTAACTTCATTTCTATCACAACACTCACAAATACAGCAACTTTAAAGTGTGTCATTCCTGGCTGTTCCCCCTTTTCAGCTTTTCTGTAGTACACAAGAACGTCCACTAGATATACGTAGAATTTATATCTGCCTTTTTTTTCCAGTTGTTCTACCCTGTAGAACAAGCCTAGAACAAAGGAGCCCATCGATACATTTATGTTGAAGGATGAAACCATCTAGAGAGCTTTCTAAATGTCAAGTGCCCAGGCTCCAGCCCAAAGGGATCTGATGCATTTTTATCAACTCCCCAGGTGATGTGATAAAGGCTAAAGGTGTAGGGAAAGTGGGAAGGGTAAGGGAAAGGGAATAAGGGAAAAGAAAAAAATACGAGAAAATGAAAAAATGGAAATAAAGTGTTTGTAAGTGGGGAGGAGGGGGTGAAGGGAGGGCAGGGACAAGCGGGAAAAGTGAGAACCAAGACCTGTCATGTAAAGGTACAAGATCCCAGTAATGAATGTAACTGTATTGTATACCTAGAATGTACCAATAAACTCGATAAAAATAAAAAAGTCCCAGAATATTTGTATTGAATGAACTTACCTCTGATATGTGTGGCACTTCGTTTTTAACCTCTTTTATTAGTATCCTAGCGTTGCAGTGACAACATGCATGCCACACATGGGGTGGCTTGAACAATAGATATTTTTGTGTGTAGAGGGTTTTTTTGTTGTTTTTTGGTTTTGTTTTTGTTTTTTTGGTACCAGGGATTGAACTCGGGTCCTTGCGCTTGCAGGGCAGGCCACCGAACCGCTGAGCTAAAACCCCGGCCCCGAATAGATATTGTCTCTCAGTTCTGCAGGCTGGAAACCTGACGTCAAGGAGCTGGCAGAGCTGGTTTCTTCTCAGGGCTGGGTAAAGGGTCTGTCTCAGGCCCTCTCCTCGGCCCTTTTCATGATCATGCCAAGTTCTCCCTATATTCATGTTTTTATTCAGGTTGTCCCATTTTGTAAGAACATCTAGTATGCACTAGATTAGGAACCCACGTTTCTGACAGTTAACATAACTAATTATATCTGCAGTGACCCTTCTCCCAAATAAAGTCATCTTCTGATGAACTAGGGCTTCAGGCTTTGACATATAAATTTGGGGGAGGACATAATACAAACTGTAACATCACAGTTCATTTACTTTGCAACTCTGTGGTTCACCTCCACCAGAGATCTGTTACAGTACTCTGAATACGTGAAAATTCTTAAGATTTCTACTAATTTCACTATACCACTATTAGCTAAAGTGGCAAGCTGGCATCACATACTTAGAATTACACAGTGTTATAGATTGGATTGATTAAAAATTTCAGATGAATTTTATGTTCACGACACATAAGAATATGCCAATTAAACTGTTTCCCTGAACAATCATTATGCAGTTTAGATTTTTTTTTATAAAATAATATTCTGTTATATTGATCTTTAAAATTGAATTCGTATTTTCTTGAAACTGTATGTGTTTAGGAAAAATAAAAATACACAATTGTTTCATGGTATAGAGTGACAAGTTTGAAAAAGATTTAAGAAAGATGTTGAATTTCTTCCCTGAGAAAGTCACTGAGAGCATGAAACAGAAAGTGCAGACTACAACAGAATCCATCCCAAACTGCAGAACAGAAGAGGAGCTTTACAGGAAAATATTGTGTCTCAAAGATCGATTAAACTTCAAAACCGCACCCTCAAACAAACAAAACCCTAAGCCTTCTATTTGCAGTGGTGATACAGATCTGTATTCCAAATTTATTCAACAGATATTTACTGGGAGTTTACAACATGCTAAAATCTCTGATTAAAGAAGAAAGCAGTGGACCTCGCCTTCAAAGAGCTCGCTGTCAAGTTTTAGAGATGGATATGTAACTAAGTGGCTCTGATCAAAACCAGAGAGCCACACTGCATCAGGACCTGGAGTGCGTAGCCACGGGCCTGAGATGTTTTCAGTTTTAGCCATTCGGGCCCATCGTATTCAGGAGTAATTTCGTAGTAGGCTTATGCCCTAATTCCTTTCATTCTTCCTTCCTTTGCCCCTTCTCTTCGTTCCTTTTTCTTCTGTTATTCAGTATCAAAAATAATAATCCCATGTTTGTAATAATATACAAGGAATGATCACAAAAAGCAAATGCTTAAAATTTAAAAAAAGGAATTACAGCAACTAGTAATTATTTACCCATCTCATAATACCCCTCCTTGCTTCAAACATCCCATCATTCTTGCCCCTTTTTGAAGCAGTTCTTTCACCTCTTACGGGGTGATCAAAAATACAGCGAATGCTGCTGTTGAGGGCCATCCAACAGAGGCAGCTCATGCAAGTGTCACGGTGCGTCCTCATCCGCCTGTTCACCAGATCCGGCACAGTGTGACTTCTGACTCTTCCCCAAGCCAAAATGACCATGAGAGGTGAACGTTTTGAACTGATTCAGGACATCAAGGCAGCCGCAACAAGGCAACTAAAGACACGCAGGCAAGAGGACTCCAGAGCTGCTGCAAAGGACGGCGAGAGGGACGGGGAAAGGGGGTTGACAGTGGGGTTGAGTATCCTGAAGGGAATTCACGGCAAGGTATGCTTTATTGTAATGGTTCTTATTTAAACACACCACAATTTTCAATCACACCTTGTACACTGAAAGTTTACCACTTTCATGTTTTTCCACAGATTTTTAAACCAGAGTTTTTACTAATATATGTAACTCAACCTATGTGTCAGTTTTTCTGTATCATACTGGAGATTGCAACAATATCTTCCATAGAGCATCATGCAGGGCTTCAAAAGAGACAGCATATATTAAATACAGAGCACAATATCTGGCGACGAATATTAATTGTTTTCCTTCTGTTCTTCTGATTACTAGAAGTTCTGAAGATTTCCTACTATGCTTATTCCTATACATTTTATATTCTTCATGCTATTACAAACTGGTAGCACCTTTGGAAATACTGTAGTAATAAGAATGTTTGGAATGGACAGTTATTTTACTGTCACATTGTCATTACTCCATATAACTTTGGAAGTATTCAAAAAAGTCAAATGGTTATTCCTGCATGCCTTTCATATTGCGTGAATAATTTGCCACATGCTGTTACTTCTGTTTTATATCAGCTTATTTTCATTAATCAAACAAGAATTTATTACATGACTAACTTCCACATATAATTAAACAAACGAACACCAGTCTTCACCGTTTCCCAACCACATGAGAAGAATTCATCCAAGATGCTGTGTTTGATTTTAGGCATGTGGAGTGAGAAGGGTGGGGATTACAGGAGGATTTTCTAGCTGTTCCAAGTCACCAAATGTATTCCGATCTTCATCTTTCCGTGGCATATCATCCGATTAGTCAATAGATTGTGATGTGACAATGTAATTTTAAGCCCTTAACAATGTTTGTGGTGATGATAACATCTCTATAAATAAATAACTAAAAATCTTAATTCCCTTGGTCAAGGTCCCTTGGCTTTAAGGAATGTAGTGATTCCAACAGTCAGGTTGTTAAGCAAGTACAAATGATTACTGAATATTATACTTCTATCACACTCAACGTAATCAGACACAGAGCTGGAGTTGTATACACCAAGTATCAGAATGAATTAAAGAAATGAAGTTTTGTTTTCTCAGAAAGCTCATCCATCACCCTCTATTTGCTTATCATAGTTGACCTCATATCCTCTTCCCATTGCATAGACCAGCTTTCGGAAGTATTATGGCACATAAATCCATTGTCTAACAACACTGGACCTTTGGAATTCCTTTGCTGATTTTTGAGGTGTGGCATCCAAGGCAAATAGCTATTTTGCTTCTTCTCTTTCAGGAACTTCTGAGACATGCTTGGAAGAATCACACTGCTGTTCTTTTCACTCATGCAGAAAGAATAGAAGAGGCTGGGTCCAGTGAAAGCGAATATGTACACCAGGCCCCCACTCCCTCCTGACTCCCCTAAATTCTATACAGCAGAGATATGTTTTCCAATAAGAAAAGCAAGCTCCTTTAATGAACAAAGAATGAAAATCTTAGAAAGAATTGTGGAATTTATAAAAGAAAATCACTACCAAGTTCTAACCTTTAAATAAAATTTAAGTGGAAGAAGCACTGGGTGTTGGGAGACAGAAACCTGATTTAAAAACCTGGCTATGGAGCTGGGTGTGGTGGCACACGCCTGTAATCCCAGCACTCGGGAGGCTGAGGCAGGAGGATCACTGTGAGTTCGAGACGAGCCTGGCTACATAGCGAGTTACAGGTCAGTCTCAACTACACAGTGAGACCATTGTCTCAAAATAAAAAATAAAAAATAAAACCCAAAAAACAAAAACAGGAACAACAAAAAAACCTGGCTGTAGGCCAGTGAGAGCACAGGTTTGTATAGCCACCCTGGAAAGAACATCAAGGACACAAGATTTCTAATGCAAATCCATGATATAAAAATTATTCCCCTAAGTATATATCCCACAGAAATATGTATATCTGTGCAGTAAAAGAAATGCATGTATGAAAATGCTTACAGTCCTGCTACTCCTCAAAGCCCAAAGCCCAGAACTATCCAAAGGTACACTAACAGTAGAGCGCATATGTAAATTGTAGTCTATTAGCACAATGAGACATTATACAGGAATGAGGGTAAGCGAAGTCAGCCATACATAATAATATGAATTGCCCAAACATAATGTTGAGAGAAACAGCCCAGATGTAAAACAGCACAGAGTCAATAATTCCACCTGTATAAAGCTCAAAAACAGTCAAAACGAATGGGATCTAGGTCACTGCTCTGAGGCTCAGGGGAACGGTTACCCTTGGAGAGGAGGCAGCGAATGGAGGCGGATCCTGAGGGTGATGCTGTGATTCCCGGTGTGGAAGCTGTACATGCAGGATTCATTTTCAAACGCTAGTGATTTCTGAGCTACTTAGCATATGTTGTATTTATTTTTGGTACCGGGGAATGAACTCGGGTCCTTGCACTTGCCAGGCAGGCCAATGAACCGCTGAGCTAAATCCCTGGCCAAGTATGTTGTATTTAAATAATCATCGCACATGAATAATGATCAATACTTCCTAAACTAGCCACATCCCTTACTTGATGCTTGAGAGAAGGGAAACTGCTTAGCCTGATCCTACTCTGTTTCCTCCCTTGGGAAACCTACCTCACAGTGACTGTAATGACAAAATGACCGCACCCTTGACAGATGCTTGGTACGTGTCACCTGTCTTTTGCACTTTCTTAAAATCTGTTGTTCCTATTTAGGTTTAGAAATATTAGGCAAAAACTCAGAATAAGCCTTTCCATGAGAACAGAGTAAGAACTGGAAAACCTGACTCCAAAAACCTCGACTAAAGGAGCCTCCTCTGCCTCGGAGCGGTGGTCACTGAGGTATGGCAGAGATCTTCAAGGTGGTCTCCAGGGCAGTAGTGGGAACGGAAGGAAAAGTGACTCTGCTTGATCATAAGAGCCAAGCCCATCCATTAACAAGTCCAAATCAAGCCACTTTCCCTGTGCTTTTCAAAGATGGCCACCAATTTACAGCTTGTTTTCATAAATTCAAGTTTTTATTGTTCATAGCATACAGGATACCGTATTTTCCGCTAGAAATGAGATTATATCTAGTGGTTATTTTCCCAGACCAGTCCTCAAAACACTACTGCAATGTTCAGTATTACTTTAGCACAGATGGGATCGATTAAAGTGTATCATTTCCCTATATACATGGTAGGGAGAGAACTACATACAGGGATGGAGATAGAGACGGATCTCTTGGGCCTGTTTCTGAATCTATTCTATAGCCTTCTTTCTCATTACTCATTTTACTTATATTGCTGTCAATCCAGGATGATTTGATTATAGTGGGCTTATAAAACTGAAACATAATAGTCGGACACTTCTGTGGTTTATTATGGTAATGTAACGTATAGAAATGTGCAATAAAGCATTTCCACTTCTTCAGACATGAATGTTTTTTACCTGTTGCTGTTGCGTCTGAGGTGTGGGGTGGGAAACTCTGCACCAGTAATGAATTAATGGGACAAAGTTTAACAGGGAAAACACTGTATTTGAAAAGAGAAAAGAAGCTAGAAAGACGTCCCAGTGAAGACTATCAGGGCAGGGGACACTGGAAAAGGCAGGCAGGTGCAGGCCTTTGTCCCTGCTTCCTTTTATCATGCTGCCAGGAGCTTGTCACTACCTGATTTGCTGCCCCAGACCCCAAGGCGCCAGGCAAGGCACTGTCTCCCATTGCCCTTTTTGCACTTTCCTGGGTGGGCTTGTCTGTCCTTGTCTCTGGAATTTTTAGTTTGATTAGGAGAAGTCTTACAGATAAAGAACTTAAAATTAGTGATTAAGGGGGTGAGTATTAACCAGTGCAGCAACACAGTGACCCTAGCGAGGAGATACACATATTATATAAGAGTTTTCTTTCAAGCATCCGTTCCTTGTCTCCTTCACATTTTATTGAAGGTGGGGAGGGGCAGCTAAACTAACTTGGTTAGGGCGCCTTCCTGCCTGCCTGGCTTCCTCCCTCTACCTATCAGCTCTCTCGTTTCATTAATTTCTCCCTCAGTAAAGTTTTAACATTTTCTGGTCAGGATTAGCCACAAAGCCCAACGAGGCCCTCGTTTTATAACTAACTTTTTCCTGTCTATAGACCGCTTCCCCCTACATTGGGAATTCCACACTTGTGTAATAATTTTGAAATAAATCGTAGATTGTTTTAACCAATACTTACCCCACTGTGCTAAAGAAAGAGAAGTAATTCCTCTGCTCTTTTTCTGTGCCCACTGATGCCTAGAAGTTCAAGTTTTCCTTATTTTCTTTTTACAAAAGATTTCTGACCATTCGTAAGCATTCATTGAAATACATTCTCTGGCCGATTCTTTCTGATTTTCAAAGAGAAAAAAATATATACATACATGATGACTGGAAAATACAGTGAAAGTTTAAATTTAAAAAAGTATTACAGTAAAAGCGCACTGACATTAATCCCCGATTGATAACACTCTCCCTTGTTTTCAACAGCTTTTTCATTGTTCTTTTGCCACTTTCTGAAGCAGTTCTGGAAATCCTTTCCCATGAGTGTCTCGTTGCTTTGCCATGGCGGCTTCAATGTTCTTGGTTGAAACAAGGATTTACGTTTCATGCTCATTTTGATTTGGAGGAAGAACTAGATGTCATGCAGTCCCAGATTCACTGAATAAGGCAAATGAGGACACACCATGATGTGTTTTAGAGTTTTCCTTTCTTTTGGATGACACACAACAGCCGATTTACCATACTTGTAAAATCACAACTTTCAAAGCAACTCACAAAAGAGACTTCTAAAGCTGCATCAGAAGGTGGCAGAACAATGGAGTCAATGTGTTTGAGGTGGGGAGGAGTAACTTGATGGACATTAATGATAATTTGTTTTTTACTGTGTACTTTTTTTTGGGGGGTGCCGGGGATCGAACTCAGGACCTTGCACCTGTGAGGCAGTCAGTGGCACCACTGAGCTAAATCCCAGCCCCGTATAAGTTATATTTAATTGAAATATTCACCCTGTATTTCAATCATACTTTGTGTTTTAATGATGCATGACATTCTGTGACATTAAAATCCTCTCGTGGGCATATGAGACGTTTCTCCATCTTTATGTGTATTACTATATTTGAAATTTTTTCTTTTGCCTAGTTTTATTGATTTGATAGTTGCTAGTAATCCAACTTTTCTCTTTGATAATCTAGAAGTTCTTCTTTAATGTACATCCATTACAGATTACTAGAATAGATACTAAGTTTTCTACTGTTGTTTGACAACAAAGTAACTACTATTTCCCCAATCAAGAATTTTCCCTTCCATCATCAGTTCAGCTACTGAAACAAGACCTTTACAATACATTCCTGTCTTCCTTATCTTCTGGTACTTCATCACTGTTTCTTTTTAAAAATTGGATTGTTTTTATTTTTTTTAATACACATTTGTGGTACATAATGAATTTATTTTGGGCAGTTGGTACATGCTCACAATGCATCTTAATGCTTTTTACACCCCATTCCCTCCTCCTTCCCAACGTGCTTTAATATATACATATCCTCATCATGATTTTGCCTCCTCTTCCTCTTTTCCCATCTTTCTAGTTTGTGTTTGCCCAGCAGATCCTGAGTTCTAGCGGAGGATCTTACGGGACACTGAGTTTCACACATCCTCCTGTTATCATGCAGCAATAATCCCAGCTCAGTATGATAATCTTCATTGTGGATGCAGGGACATTGTGCCAACTCGTAACTGGGTGCTTGGATCCTATGAATGAGGCACTGAAGTGATCATCTGGTAGCTATGTCCCACCTGAGGCTAAGTTGCCCAGCTGTTTCTGGATGAAGGCACACATGTACCCACCAAATAAGCTAGCCATACAGTTTGTAACAGCTACAACTTGGAAACAGCCCAATGGCCCATCAACTGGAGACCAGATAGGGATGCTTTTTGTTTGTTTGTTTTAAATAAAATGGAGTACTACTCAGCCATAAACAGCGAGAAACCAGAGACATTTAAAGCTGAGTGGAGGCACACTGAGGCCATACTCTTAAGTGAAATTAATAAGACACACATCTGTAAATACTGAATAGTTTTTCTGGTGTGAAAAACTAAAAATGTAAATAAGGATCAAAATGTATAATTCGTATTGTGTAATAGCAAATAAAGGTCTAAAAGAATAGGGGAAGAGGGAGGAGTATGGGGAAAGGGTAAACAAAATATGAGAAAAGAAAAATCATGGAAACAATGTCTTTGTAAACAGGGAAGGGTGGAGAGGGTGAAGGGAGGGCTGGGAATGGGAAAAAATAAGAACCAAAATAAGTCAGGTAAAGGTACAAGATCCCAATTATGAATGTAAGTGTATTGTATATTTAAAATGTACCAATAAACTTAATAAAAAAAATAAGCCAGCCATTTCTGGAGATGATTACAACTCACAACAAAGAACCATGTGAACAGGACTAGCTCCAGGCAACAGAAATGATGCCCAGCCACTTTGTCTTTGGTGTCCTGCCACCTTTCCTAGTAGTCTATTTGTGATCTGGCCTTATGCCTTTCCAGATGCCAGATCTGTGTGTGATTCTCATTTGGAAGCCAAAACTTTTTACCGAATTTTATATTTGAAAGTACTCTGAACAGTTTAGGGATTGTAAGATAGTATACTTCATTTTTGTACAGCTGTGGTCAGTCTTAGGGGATACCATCCTGGGGCATTAGTGATTACCTTTAAACCTACCAGTGCTGGCTCTTGTTGGGTTTATTCTTCTAGAGGTAGTATCTTAATTAGCAATTCAATTTTCTTTCTTTTTCAAAGGGTCTATTTATCTATACTCTACCTTTTTCTTAAATAATTTGTTTAGTTTTTCCCTTCTGTTTCCAGACCTAACTGGGTTATTTTTTCCATAAAATGCTATTTTCAAGTGGTATCATTTCCTAGATTCTCAAACTTTAATTTAAAAATAAGTATCTTTTTGCAGGTGTCATAAGTTCTTTTTAGTGTAGCTTTGAGAAAATATCTTTTCATATGAAAACTGAAGGTTATACAAAGAAGTTACTTCAACTAAAATTATTCTTTTGCTGAACGTATTGAAAGTGACTTTTAGTTTGCATTTTTCATTAAAGTTTTTCAAAAGAAATTTAGCCGTGGTGTTGCTTTTGGATGCATATGCACTGTTCTTTCCAAATTCCCCAGGTATGAAAATTTGAGTGGGTATTAAATGAACCAATTTCAGCCAAATATGTAATCTTAGTGCTGAAAATTCAAGTAGAGGCATATATTGAAGCCTTGCTCTGTGGGATGTATGATATTCTAATGAGGTAATTTTCAAAAAAAAAAAGTAAAACTTCATCAGAGTGGCCTTGACATAAAGGCTCACCATGCAAATGCTGTAAGTAAATGAAGAGGCACTAAGGACCACTAGTTTGACAATTCTATGGGTATTATGCAGCAGTGGGAAAGAAAACAGTTAGGCCTCCATTAAAAAGAATTATTCTTTCTCCTTGCAAGTACTGAGCCCCAGGCTTGTTTCTATGCCTGTTGCTAAGGACAGTAGCCTGCCAGATAGGAAATGATGTTGATGAAGACATAAAGTAATACACAGATTCTTTTACTTAAAAACTAGAGAACTGGTAATACAGTATGGTAGGAGGGGAGTGAAGGTTAGGAACGAAAAAACAAACAAGGGAGTACATAAGGGTGAAAAGATACAATATACAATAATTTACACTGAAATTCTAGACGACTCACTTTTAAATCACCAATTATTTTATTGCTCTAGGTCCTTTCTCCACATTTTTTTTGGTGTTATAGTCCTATGAATTATCTCTGCCAAGACTTATATAAAGGAAAAAGTAACTATAAAATGTGCAACAAACAAGTATGTGTAATTCATATTTTCTCATTCCAGTTAGTTGGTTACGAAGGAAGATTCCCATTTTATACACAGGCATATTAGCCACCAACAACTATGACACTGTTATCACACGACAAATTTAGCAAGTATAATCCAGGCTCTTAGGTACAAAGATCCATGAATTGCCAAGAGCACACTCCACAGCCAATAGAAAGCAGCTACATTTATTGAAGGTCACAGGAAGTTGTGCTCAGGGCAAGTCCATGCTGACAAAAGATACAGCACACAGAAAAGCGGTGCTGGGGTAACAGGAAAGCAAAAGCACTGCGCACGCACCACCCCCCAGATGACTCAGGCTTTCAGAATTTAAAGGACATGCTCGTCAGCCCAGGGGCCTTCTGAATCTCTAGGAATGATGACAGGAACGGCTGACAGGTTGCTGAATCATCTCAGGGGCTCTCAAAATACATTCCAGTCCCGGAATTCACTGTTTTAATTGCATGTATGAGATATAGTGTTTATTTAAGAAGATTGGCCTAGGGTAAAGATGACTGGAGGTCAGGCCCAGGGATCCACCATTCATGTGCTCTCTCATAGAACCACGGTCTTTTCTATGTGATTCTCTACCTCTCTTAGGTCAACTGAAGGAGGTTTTAAAATTAAATGGGTACAAGGGCGTGACCTTGAGGCTCATAAATCCTCACTGTTCCTACAGTATTTGTAAGATCAGAGAGAATAGGTGTTTGGCATCTTAATATATAGTTTTATGATAATTTTGAGGCTATGATTTCTTTTAATTAATATCAATTGTGTCATGGTACATAAAAAAATAAATATACCAGCCATAAGTATTCTGGTCAAGATTAGTATTACAAATTATTTTGTATGTGGAAAGAAAATGTTTAATACCTAGTTGGAAATTTCAGTTTTGTTAACAAGTCACTTTATAGGTTATAAATCAGGGTTACTTCAGCAACAAACAACAAATGTTCAAATACCATCGCCCCTAGATTTTGAGCTGTTTGACTTTTAGAATCAACATTTGGTCATTTTCAGTATTAATAAGTATGATAAAAATTCTAATTTGTCATTTATAAGAGGCCATTTATAATACAGATATACAATATACTGAAATTCTAACAGCCTAAAGTTTTATTCACCATGTGCTCCCAAATAAACTAAATACTAATCTAGTTTAAGTTATCTAAATATAAAGAGAAAAAAACAACTTGCTAACCAAAATATATCCTAAAAAAAAAACTATCACAAAACATGGGTAACTTCCTTCTTCCTTTATAGATGATCAAAAACCACATGTAGAAATACAATATTTCCCTAATTGACTGAAAACAAAATATACCAGAAAAAAGAAAGATAACGCAAAGATGAGCCAGGCACATTTTAGGTAGAAGAAGGGACAAACACCTTTTATTGCTCCCGGGTTTCCTCCAACGTGTCCCGCAACGGTGGCGTCTGATCTTACTTGATTCCACTCTTGGCCATGGTCTGAGCCCTGCACACTCCCTTGCCCTTCACCTCAAAGGGGACGCCTTTGTACGTGGCCACACACTCGTCATTGGTGTACAGGTCAGGCTGGATCTGCTCCCAAATCTTCTTCTTAGGGTTCAGTTCCTTGTCAGGCTCTCCTGTGAGCGGAGGAAAATCAACCGATCCATGAAGAAAAAATCAACCAATTAAGCAACAAATATACAGAAATATAAAAGCACCTGGCCCCAAGGACTCCTAGTCAATTGTCTTGGTAGCACTTCCCAATCTTTAGACCTCATCAAGATTTTAATGTTCATTTTATATTTATAAACAGTTTATATCCTTAATTGGTAAAACAGATATAATCATTTCCTCAGGAAGATTAAATACTTTTTACTGTTATGACAGTATTTTTTCAAGTAATACAGCTCAATGAATTTGCTCCCCAAAGTTTTAAAAATGTAAGATACTCATTTTATTTTTACATATAAAGAAAAACTCTGAAGATGAGGACAAATTTTGATGTATTTACATTTTTATAATTGGTGGAAGCAGCTTTGCTCTGCTCTGTATTTTAGCACATAACAACAGCTTTGCTCAGATTACCCAGCTGAACGTGCAAACTGCTTTGGGTTTCATTTGCTATCCTTGGTAAGAAGGAACGACACGGAGTAGCAAGGACATGAGGATTGGCATTTTCTGCACACTAAGAACGTGTGTTGTTACTTGACATCTATACAACGGCCTCAATTTTCATTTTAAACATAAGGAAACTGAAGGAGAGAGAAGATAAGTTGTTAGAAGTCACAGAATCATGTGGGCCAGGATTTGACATCAAAATTCATGTTCTGCTACTGCAGCACCTGGCCTGATAATTCTGATTTCGAAAAGAAGAAAAAGCCTTCATACTTGTGGATAATCGCCCTAATCTTTCTTTAGTAACTCATACTATAAACTTTACAACCAATAGACAACAAATAAATAGAATATAACTGGTCTGGTCTTAAAGACAGAAGTCTACATAATGGAAGGAAAATTGAGAGTTAAGTTCAATACAGAGACTTCAATAACACTTGGAATGAAGAAGCAGTTCAGCAAACAATGAAGAGAAGGGAGTCATCTTTTTTATGAGGCCTCAATCAAGCACTTGATTTTTAAGGAGGAAGGAGATGTGTAGCCTTGGGATCTTTTTTTCCAGTGACTCTTAAGTACCAGAACTACCTATCTCTCACATTTTGATTACATCTTATTAGCTAAAGTAGTATTTATTCTCTCTTATTAGCTCTTCAGAGACTGTGACACAGGCGAGGACATACAAGACTGCCCTCTTTTTAAAGACTTTGAGATCACAGCACTGCTAACTGCATGATGCCTGTAGCAGGAGAACATGCAATGGAATATAAGGGAAAGACGAGTGCAGATGACTTCTCTTCCGCCTCTAGGACCATCTGACCAGACAACAGAGAAACTCTAACAAAGAGAATGGAAAAAATAATGATGTGCAAGTGTACATCCCCTTAGATTCACAAGAATTTACTTATTTCTTTTTCTTTATTTTTTGGTACTGGGGATTGAACTTGGGCTCTTGCGCTTGCAAGGCTGGTGGTAAAACCACTGAGCTAAATCCCCAGCCTAGAATTTATTTATTTTAATTTATTCTTGAGTCTAAAAGCTTCATCTGGTGAACAGGTCATGTGGAGAAATGTGCACTCCAATGCTGGTGAGCTCAATGCAGAGATGGTGGTCAGAGGCCTGAGCTCGCATTCAGGTCTGTGCCCTTGCTCCAAAAGATGTTGCCAAAACAAGAAGTTCAAGAAACAGGGTGTCTTGGATTCACGTGTAAGCTTCTTACTAACTTGTGTGAAGACAAAAGCCCCAAGAACAAAAAGCTGTGGTACAGCACAAAGCTCAGCTTCTTTTGTGTGTGCGACACTGATGTGCACATGAGATAAATGTATATGCTGCTGCTGTGAGCCGGTACCGCACTAGGTGCCTGACATATTCCATCAACTCAGTGCATATTTAAATATATAATGGTTGCCATCTTAGAGGAAGAAATTGAGGCACAAAGGTTACAGCTAAGAATTGGAAAACATCAGGCAGTGGCCAGTTTCAAAAGCTAAAGCTCAGAAAACCCTGAGGAGAGAGGGACTACTGAAAACTCCTCCCAGACGAAACACAGAGAGGCTCAGGAAGGTTCCCAGTTCACCACTAGCAGAGCTAAAACCTGAAAAGGCTGAACTTCACATGACTGTGATGCTTCTCAAGGAGCAAAGATGTGAACTAAAAATAAACTAGATCAAATAAGAGAAACTGCCAAAGCTGACTGCCACTGTTAAAAAAAGAGACGCAGCCAGGGATTTCACCCAGTGGTGCTGCCTCCTGCCTCACAAGTGCAAGGACCCGAGTTCGATCCCCGGTACCAAAAAGAAAAAAGACTCAATTTTTTAACATTATGTATGTAGTTGTGAGACTTTAAGGAATCATTTAATGAAACGAGATTACACAAGGGCTTAAGAAAGAAGTTAGACAAATGTGTTATTAACATGAGTGCCAGAAAGCCATCACTTTCTTTTTAAAGTTACTTTAAACAGAAGATATTCTACATTCTGTAGTTTACAATCTCGTTTGTCTGTTAACTACATGAAGGAAAAAATTTCTTTAAAGATTCAAATTATCTTGAAAACGAGGAGCTTGTTACAGGCGCACGTTGCGCCAGGGCACTTTGCCATGCTGAGCTTAGGTCTTCTGCATTTACAAAGTGAGGGTCTGTGGCAACCGCGTCTGAGGCAAGTCCAGCAGCGCCATCTCTGAGCTGGCACTCACGTTAGTCTGTGCCATGTTTTGTTAGCTCCCTCAAGATCTCAAACTTTATTATTCATATTTCTTATGGGGATGGGTAATCGGCGATCTGTGCTATTATGACTGCAATTGTTTTGGGACCCTACAAACCACGTCCAACTGGTACAGCAACCTTGAACTGATAACGCCGTGTGTGTGACAGGTCCACTGACTCAGACCTCCCCACTCCATCCCGTCTCTACCCTCACTACCCTCACCTCTGGCCTGTGACACATCTGCACCTGAACAAGGCCAACTGCTAACCCTACCACAGCCCTTAAGTGTCCACTGGACGCGAAGAGTCACGACGCCACTTTGAATCAAAGCTGAAAGTGACGAAGCTGAATGTTCGAAGCTTAATGATGAAGCTATGCAGGCACCTGAAACAGATCCAAGGCTGGCATTCTTGTGGCACACAGACGAATGCAAAGGACGGGCTCTTGGAGAAAATTCCAAGTGTTACTCCAGTGAACACATGGGTGATAAGAAAGTGAAATGTACCTACTGCTCATGTGGAGGAAGTCTGTGTGGTCTGGACAGAAGATCAAACACGGTCTAATGCAAAGTAAGGCCCTAACTCTCCAAATCTGTGAAGGCTGAGAGAGGTGAGAAAGCTGCAGAGGCTGGTTTGTGGGACTGAAGGAAAGAAGTTATAGTACCTTGAGCTGAGGCGAGTTACCCAAAGACCCAACTAAGTGACAAAGGTGGCTATACCAGGCAAGATTTCCAGTGCAGACACACAGCTGTGGACTGGAAAAAGATGCCAGTAAGCACTTTCCTGGCCAGAGAGAAATCAACAGACGGCTTCAAAGGACAGGCTGGCTCTCTGCTTGTCAGGGGCCAATGCACCTGTGCCTCTAAGGTGAATCCAGTGCTCGTTTACCATTCCAAAAATCCTAGAGCCTACATTATACTACATGTATTCTGTCTGTGCCCCATAAATGGAACAGCACATCTGTTTACAACATGGTTCAAAGATGAAGCCCACTATTGAGACTACTGCTCAAAAAAATATATATGTATATTTTCAAAATATTCTTTCTGGTCAGTTAAGAGCTCCGATGAAGACACAAAATGAGATTCCCATTGTTTTCAGGTCTGCGAACAATGTCCATTCTGTAGCCCACGGATCAAGGAGGAATTTGGACTTCAAATTTTATTATTTAAAAAGTGCATTTTATGTCTATTGCTGTCATAGCGATCCCTCTGATAGATCCAGACAAAATAAACTGAAAACCTTCTGCCAACGGTTCACCATTCTACACAGCATTAAATCCACCCATGATTCACAAGAGGAGGCCAAAATATCAACATAAACAGGGCTTTAGATTCCAAACCAACATAAACAGGACTTTGAGAGGCTCAAGGCTGCAGTGGGGAAGGAACTACACTGTGGTGGCAACAGCAAGGGAACTAGGGCTGGAAGTGGATCCTGAAGATCCATGATAAAACTTTAATGGGTGAGGAGGCCTTCTTAGGGAGGGGCAAAGAAGGTGGTTTCTGAGATGCAATGAATGCTAGACATGACATCAGAGGACCTGGAATATTATACAGACTTAGGTGAGGAAGTAGAGGCAGGCAGCACCTGAGAGGATTCGGTCCAGTTTTGCAAGGAGATGCACCGTAAATGCTGCCAGACAGCATCACGTGCTAGAGAAACCTGTCATGAGTGGAAGATTAGTCAGTGTGGGAAACTTCACTGCTCTCTTACTGTAAAGAAAGCACCACAGCCATTCACCCTTGGCAAACCCCGTAGGATCAGGGAGCAGCATACCACTGAGGTGAGATCCTTCATCAGCAAGACCGACTCGCCAAAGACTCAAAGGGTGATTGGCACATTTGAGCAAATAAGCATTTTTTAATAAGGCACATTCACTGTTTTTAGTCATAATGTCATTGCACACTCAGTATTCTATAACACTATGTAAAGTAACTTTTATATGCATCAGGAAGCCAGGACATGTCTGGGGCTTACATTCACAGTAAGAGAGTTACCCTATTCACTTATTGTGGTGGTCTAGAACTAAACCTGCAGTACCTCCACAGACCACTACAAATTGACATTTGTAATAAAAAACTCTCACATTGTGAGCACAGAATATAAGTCTGTGGTGAAAAAGTTGGATGCCATGTTAACTATCTGGCTTACTCAAAATACTTCTCAACCATTTACTACTTGGGAGGATACAGTGAAAGTTTAAAATAAGAGGTTGAGTTACTGCCACTGAAAAAATAAACATCAGGTTTTAAATAATCTCTGCTTTTAATAAGCTATACTTTCTAGAGAAATCTGCTATCTTCTCCTTATGCTAAGTCCTTCTAGTACTTATTTTCTTGGGTTTTTTTTCCTAGCATGGCTATTAAAAGATAAGTGGTGATATTAACACAAGTTCTTAAAGCTAAAAGATGCACAGTTCCTGACATTGCCAAACATATGCCAATAACTGCCATTTGGAAATGGTTATATATATTATAAAAGAACTAACTATTCAGAGATTATTTTAGGCCAATTCATTCTAAATAAAACACAGGAAATGGGAACTTGTTTAGAAAGGAGAGAGTCCGAAAAGTTTGTACAGATGTACAAAGCTCTATCTTCTTAGCATGTCAAACCTCTAAAAGCAAGAGTGCAAATCTAGCGTGCTAGGAATTCTGAGGTTTGGAATAAGAACTAGAAATTTCATTTTAATTAGGCCATTCCTTTGCAAAGAATGCTCACTGACCAACATCAACTTCCTTTAAGCATCTGGAATGGACATAGTAATTTTAGTGCTAATTTAGTTATTTCATGAAATTTCAAAACTGAGTTTCTGAATTATAACGATGATTACCAATTGTGTATAGAGTTTTGTAAAGAATGGGTTAGTTAATTTATGAAGCTAATCTATACAGAGAAATAGTTTGTGGTTTTGTAGGAACAATCTTCAGAATATCAGAAGGAAGATATTCAGCTGTGTTCTCCAAAGAGTAGAGTTTTAAAATATTTTACATAAAGGTTTTTAAAATTTATTCACTAACCAAAGTAATGAGTTCCTAGCTTATGTCAGACATTGTTCCATATGCTAAGGGCACAGTAGTAAGTTAAAAAAAAAAAAAAAAGAATCTTGACTTTGTAATGCTTAAATTTCCATAAATAATATGCACAATATCAGGAGGTAAGGAGGGTTTTGAAGGACAAGAAAGCAAAGACAGAAATACCTGAAAGCTCTGGGATGAGGGCGCAATCTCAGGGCAAATCAGAGAGCAGTGCCCAGCATCTTGAGTGCAATGAAGTAACAGAGACTATCCTAGGACTGTGCCTGTAGTGGGTCGGAGGGAAACTTCTGAAGACTTACCCACAATAATACAATCTGATTTACATCCTTCTGGCTGAAATAATTGAAAAGATGGAAGAAGGGTGAGGGCAACAGCACAGAGACCAGTGAGCAGGCTCCTGAGTTGTCCAGATAAGATAGGTCAGCGCTGGGACCAGCGTGGTTGTGGTGGGAGGGGCAAGCATGATTTTGGATAGGCTCAGAAGACCTATGGTGGAACTGGTCTTCCACAGTGTCCTTCCATGGCGGGATTTTCTGAAGAAAATGAGATGAAAGATACTATGGAAAGGGGAACAACCAGATATTTTTCACTCCCTGGAACATGCCAATGAAGAAGTCTACAAGGCCGCTAGATAACTGGATAAAATGGCCATGGGAATAGCACAGGCAGAAAAAGAAAAGTCTGAGGCCCGTCCAACGGCAAGAGGTGTGAGAAGGGATAAAAAGCAATGTGCAAAGGAGATGAGAAGGGCAGTCAGAGAGCCAGGAGGACACTGAGTTGGGGTGTCATGAAGCTAATTAAGAGATGACTGAGAACCAGCTGCTGAGCGGAAGAAGCGTGGATGAGAAATCTGACCAAAATGGTCTTTAGAGAGCAGGGAATCATGTGTAGGCAACCTTGGTTTTCAAAATAAATGAATCCAAAAAAGACTGTGCTTTGTGATTAACTATTAGTTTAGAACCAAACTCAGTATCAATGAAAATAAGAACGATCTTAGAAGCTAAGAGTCTGAGTGGAAATTCCTGATTCTTATTAGAGTAAGAGTGGCCCATTGTTAAAAGGCTGTCGTTGCTTTTGCCTCCTGGATGTGAGAGTAATTCAAGTTACTCTGCTTGGTGATACAGGAACCAATTATCCCAAGTAAACACTAAAGTGTAAGGTAAGATTGTAAGAGTTGGGAGGGTGGGTAAGGCTTTAAGTGTTGTTATTAACACATTATTCAGTTTCGTCTAAATTCTATAGGTGTTTTTAGCTGTGTAACTGGGAAAAATGGGGGTGGAAATTTTTGTTTGAAGGCCAAACAATAATGCAAGGGTTTGAGCACCAACTGTAATTTCTAACCAAACTTAACACACAATCAAATGTTGATCTCTAGAAAGTGAGCACATCACATGAATATCGAAGTGTACCAGCAGACAACTTAGGCTTTACAATGTCAGATGCTTAAAATTAAAGCACTGATAAATCATGGTATTCTCTAAGAAAAAAAAAAATCTGTAAGAATCAAGGTCTTGCACTGTTACTTCTTCAGATTTACTGTACAGAAGATGCAGAGAACCAATAGAATTCACAGCCCAAATTTTATCAGATATTTGATGCTTGGTTAAGTATAAACGTTAGAAAACAATTCAAACAACCCATCAACTATTTTAAAGGTAGGTTTATAAATATTACAAACTTTATAAACATTAACTTCTCCATGATGGGAGAACGTAGCAGAAACACCAGACTGTGGAACAATATGAGTGCATGTGTACAAACATCCAAAACGACCTACAGATCCAAGAACACTGGCTCGTTATCACCTCTAATGCTAAGTCCGTGGGTAAGAACTTCTTTTCAATTTATTCCAAAGTAAATTGGATTTGAACTATTCACCTGCTGAAGCTGAGATAGCAGAATGAGAAGTGTCATAGTAATGAAAGAACTATAAGCCTTCATTAATAAACAAGCATCAAGGAACAAGCATTAAATGCTACAGTATTAGAGCCTTCTAGATTATTAAATAATTGGATTTAACACAAGGGTTTTCTCTATATCCTAAAGTAAAAGCACATGCAAATACATTAATGGGTGTATTTTGAGAATTAGGCATCTTTTCCCCATCTTTGGATTCTGTGTTGTAATTTGAGACAATTCTATAGCTTAAATACTTTTATTGGACATTAATTTGTTCTCCATTTATGTCACACTCTCCTGCTAAGCAGGTAGGAATTCTAGTATTTCTTAGGGGGAGTCTCTGTCTAATGTTATGTATGTTCGTGCAGTAGGATGGTTACACGCCCTGCACAACATGTTATCTCCTAACATACATCATGACCACTGAACGGAAAGCCTTGTGCTTTTGAATCACAGCTGATTTAAACCATGACTCTGAAAACTGACTCCTAAACTATTTAAATAATTGCTGAATACTTACCAGGGAAAGATTCAAAAGTAACTCTGTCTCCAGGAACAGAGCTGTCAGGAGGAGCCAGGAGTTCGACCTTCTCCGGTGAGCTAGCGCACATCACCATTGCCTGAGACAGGACCCCCCTCATCTTCGCAGGTTTCAGGTTGCAAAGCAAAACCACCATCCGATTTTGCATCTGTGTAAAACACAATAAAACTGGTGGCTGAAGCTGCACAGCTGATTAGAATAATCACCTGGAGGATATTTAGAAGTCAGCTATTATTCTAAAGAGCAAACATTACGCTTCTGTGGATGATTATTTGTCTCTGCAGGTCCCAAATCATCTTGTTAGGATGATTTTACACATGAAAGGAAAATTCTCCTAACAACTCATCAAAGCTAAAGAGCAGAGGCCTTCTGGATAAATATTTAAGGAATAAATGAATAAAGTGAGTGAAACACATTTAAATTTTGGCTGCCACTGTCTAGCAGTGGCAATGTATTAAGTTGATTTACCTATTTCCTTAATAAACAAGAGAAGCCTCCCGACTGTCCTGGTTAACAGGAAGTGACACTACAGGGTGCTCAGCCTCGTGGTCAGATCAGAGTACGCCAGTGAACAAGTCACTACTTTCTTCAGCAGAAAAAATGCTAATGATAACATTAGATACAAGAAAGTGTGTTAGTCATGTCCATTAAATGTCTCGCAAACAACAGCCTTCATCACCATCGTTTCTGTCACTGCACCAGCATGGAATGTTATCATTCCTTGATTAAAAAAACAATCAGCTGCTCCCCCAGCTCCAGCACCCCAGGCCTTCATCAGAGCAGACCCGTGAGGACCGCCCAGCTATGCCGGGAGCTCGCTGCTCCCTCACCTCCAGCACCCCAGGCCCTCATCAGAGCAGACTGCTGAGGACCGCCCAGCTGCCCAGTTGCCCCTGCAGCATCCCTCCCACCCCCAGTTCCACTCTGGGGTCTCCAGGTTGTGCTGGTACCTGGATCCACACTGCAGAGGCAGAGGTGGTCATAAAGGCCATTTTACTGAGCTCCAGAAAATAGAACGGAAGGTAACAACTGCCACAAAGGCACATCTGACTTCCGTAGTTGCTAAGTTGGAGGGATCACCCACCACCTCCCATCAGAACGTGGACTATCGTCAGGGGAAGGGCAGCAGGAACCTGCAGTAGAACCTTGAAGAGTTCAACCCCGCAGGAGGTCAGAGAGCTCAACTTGGGCCTTGCAGCCAGAAATCCGCCTGAATCTCAGGGGTCTGCCATTGGCTAACTGAGACTAACTGACTTAGTTCTGCACATTGCTGCCCACATTGTCTGTTGTGACAGCAGATGTACCCTGAAAGAGGCTCTTCAAATTTTCTTTCTTTTCCTTTTATTAATTTTTATTTTTAAAATTTTATTTTTTCCCATTCTGCAAATTCTTCCTTTGCTCTTGTTCCCACTCAGTATCTTGCTCACCCATGTTATTCTTCATCTCCCTTTTTGTTCCTGTTCCTGCCCTAATTCCAATTTTTCTTTTATTCTCTCTTTTTCCTTCACTCAATTGTCACTAGTTTCAAAGGAAAGTGAGTAGAATTTATAGCTTCCCTATTACTGTTAAGTTGTTCCATTCTTGTCTTTGTTCTTGCACTCTGTCTTTCCCTCTTGTCTTCAACAGTTTCCTAGAGTTTGCGTGATAATCCTGTGTCCTCTGGCTTCACTTGAAACCTTCTCCTATTCTTTTACCTATCTATTCCTCTCCTTTGAACTCCTTCTAAGTCCCATCCTGAAGGGTAAAGTTATTATATTGAAGAGTTTATTCACTTATAAACATTTTAGCTGGTTGTCAATTTTGATTTAATTCACATGGTTAAAGGTGATAGATTAATTACCACAAATGGTCAATTTCTAAGCTGTGCTTGATGCTACTGTGTTGCTGATTGTATCAACTGGGCTAAAGGGTGTGCTTGTTTTAATGATATTATGAAAATGAGAGTGTCTCTGAGTCATTAGAGACTCAAAACCTAAAGAGCAGCTATATCAGGAAGATCAAAGTAACAACCCAGAAATTAAACCCAGGACAGCCCAACAACAAAAACAAAAATGAGAAAACACTTAAGCAAGGCACAAATATAGACTCCCAGTTCACCAATGTCAAATTCTAGGGGAAACGAGATGGAAAAGTTTGACAATCAAGCACCAGGACACTCTGAACTCATTGCATAGGAAGTAACAAAACAGATCAATCAGGCTCTAGAAAAATTCAAAACAGAAATAATTTCCCAGATAACTACACAGATGGTAAGCACAATGAATGACATTATTAGAGACTTTAGAAAAGAAACAGACAAAAAAAATGATAAGCTTAGGAACATGACAGAAGCCATGACTGCCCAACACAAGAAAGAAATGGAAACCATGAATGTCCAACATAGGAAAGAAAAGGAATCCATGAAACAGATTCAAACAGATATCCAGATTAAAAACTCTACTGAAAGCACTCACAGCAGGATGAACAAATGCAAAGATAAAATTTCAGATACAGAAGATAGGACTGCAGTCAGTGACCAAGAAGAGAGATCTCTTAAAAACAATAAGGGATCATGAGAAATTGATCCAACAACTCCTACATGATGCAAAGAAAAATAATGTAAGACTGACAGGAATTCATGAAGTAGAAGGAGAAAGTACAAAAGACTTTAAAAAACTGTTAAGAGAATTAATGACCAAAAACTTCCCAAACAGAGCAAAAGAATTTGACATACAGATAAGCAAGGCAATTAGCCATGATAAAAAAAAAAAAAAAAAAATCTACACCTAGATGTATAATAGTTAAGATCCAGGAAACCCAACAGAAGAAAAAAATACTGAAAGCAGTTAGAGAAAAGAAACAAATCACATGCAAAGGAAAGCCTATGAGAATCACAGCAGACTTTTGAACACAAACCCTCAAGTCAAGGAGAGGCTGGAGTAAGGTATTTCAAGCCCTACAAGAAAACAACCTCCAACCTAGACTGAGATGTCCTGCAAAACTCTCTTTTAAAATGGATGGGGAAATAAGATACTTTCATGACAAAGAACGCCTGAGAAACCAGCACTACAAATAATTCTAAACAATACCCTAGAAAAACACAATGAAGTTCACAACACCATGAGGCCCTACAGAGCAAATCAATTAGGCAAGGCAAGAAACTAAAGGGAGAGGGGGAAAAATTAAAAAGAGCTCCAAACAGGACAATAACATGATAATGATAAGTCAATACATAGAGTTATAACCATCAATGTCAATGGCCTCAATTTATCAATCAAAAGAAATAGACTGACAGAATGGATTAAGAAGCAAAATCCAACAATATGCTGTATAAAAGAAACACACCTAGTTCAAAAAGAAACTCATAGACTGAAAGTGAAAGAAATGCAAAGCAATTCTTCATGTGACAGGAGCCCAGAAAATGCAGGAATAGCTATCTTATTCACAGACAAAGTTAAATTTCAAACCAAACTGATCAAGAGAGAGACAAAGAAGGCCACTACATCCTTTTAACAGGAATACAAAAGGAAGAGATGACAATCGTGAATATGTATGCACCAAATATGAATGCACCCAACTATATAAAATAAATATTAAGGGACATGAAAAACCAAATAAGCACTAATAATATTGTAGTGGGAGAACTAAATACCCCACTATCACAGAGACAGATCATCTAGACAAAAAATCAACAATGAAATACCAGAAATGAACCAAGCTTTTCAACAAATGGGCTTAACAGACATTTACAGTGTTCCACCCACAAAATCAGAATATACATTCTTTTCAAATACACATGGGTCATACTCCAAAACAGACCACATAGTAGCTCATAGAACATATTTAAATAAATGCAAAGGAATCGAAGTTATACCATGTATATTATCAGACAATCAGTGCAATTAAGCTTACTGTTATTAAGTGCAATAGCATAAGAAACCATAAGAACTTCAGAAACACATGGAAATTGAACAACACTCTCCTGAACAATGGTTCACAGAGGAAACTAAAGAAGTAGTTAGTTTTTACAAATAAATGATAATGCCAATACAACATACAAGAATCTACGTGACACAATGAAAGAAATTCTACAAGGAAAATTTATAGTAGTGAATTCCCAAACTAGGAAAACAGAGCAAGCTCAAATAAACAACCTAATGCTGAATCTTAAGCTTCTAGAAAAAGAAGAGCAAGACAAACCCAAAGCTCGTACAAGGGAGGAAATTATAAAGATCAGAGCAGAAATCACTGCAATGGAAACTAAGAGAACGATACCAAAAAAAAAAAAAAAGTCAATGAATTAAAGAGTTGGTTTTTCAAAAGAATAATAAAATCGATAAACCCTTAGCCAACTTTGTCAAATAAAGCAAAGGCTCAGATCCATGCAATTAGGAACGAAACGGTGAAGTCACAACAAGATCCAGAAGAAATTCAGAAGATCATCAATACCTATGTTGAGAACCTGTACTTCAATAAGATGGAAAACAGAAGAAATCAACAGATTTCTTGATACTTATGAATTACAAAAGTTGAACAAAGATAAAATAATTCTAAGCACCCCAATTACAATCAGTAAAATTGAAAACATTTAAAAATTTACCAACTAAGAAAAGTCCAGGTCTGATACCTTCACTGCTGAATTCTACAAGACATTTAGAGAACTACTGCCACTACTCTAAATTTTTCAGTGAAATTGAAAGGGAAGTAAGTAATACTTCCAAATTCATTCCTGGAAGAAAGTGTTTCTTTGATTCCAAACCCAGGGAAAGACCCAACCAAAAAAGAAAACTACAGGCCAATCTCCTTAATGAACTTAGATGTGAAAATTCTCAATAAGATACTGGCAAACAGAATACAGAGAGTCATCACGAAGATCATATACTCTGACCAAGTTGGATTTATTCCAGGGATGCAAGGATGGTTCAACATACGTAAACCAATAAATGCAATACACTATATCAACAGAGTCAATGACAAAAACTATATGATCATCTCCATAGATGCAGAAAAAGTATTTGACAAAATTCAGCACCATTCATGATAAAAACCCTGCAGGCCATTGGAATAGTCTTTATCCCAACTTGATAAAGGTTACCTATGAAAAATGAATAGCCATCATCATATTAAATGGCCAGAAACTGAAAACCTTCACGTTAAAATCAGAAACAAGACAAGGATGTCCACTGTCACCACTCCTGTTCAATATAGTTCTGGAAACATTAGCCACAGCAATTAGATATGAGAAAGAAATTAAAGCAATAAAGATAGGAAAGGAAGAAGTTAAACTGTCATTATTTGCTGACGATGATACTCTACACAGAGGACCCAAAAAACTCTGCCAAAAGACTTCTAGACTTAATTGACACTTTCAGCAGAGTAGCTGGACACAAGGTCAACACTCAAAACTCAATAGCCTTCTTGTACACAAATAACAGACTCACCGAGAAATGAGTGAAACAATTTCTTTCAAAATATCATCCAAAAAAAATGAAGTATCTAGGAATCAATCTAACTTTGAAGCAAGCAAAAGACCTCTATAATGAAAACTACAGCACTCTGAAAAAAAGAGGTAAAGAATGTAAGACAATGGAAAGATATCCCCTGCTCCTGGGTAGGAAAACCAACATAGCGAAAATGGCCATACTACCAAAACTGTTAAACAGATTCAGTGCAATCCCAATTGAAATTCCAAAAGTATATTTCACAGAACTACAGAAAATAATAAAAAAATTCACTTGGAACCAGAAGAGACCTAGAATAGCAAAAGCAATTCTAGGCAACAGAGATATGAGAGGGGGTATCGCAATCCCCAAATTGAAACTGTACTACAAAGCCACTGTGATAAAAACAGCATGGCAGTGGCAAAGAAACAGACCCAAGGATCAGTGAAATAGATTGGAAGATACAGAAATAACTCCAGATGTACTCAGCTACTTCATCTTTGACAAAAGAGCCAACATCGTCACTGGAGGAAGATAGCCTCTTTAATAAATTGTGCTAGAAAAACTGGATTTCAACCTGCCAAAGATTAAACTAGACACTTATCTTTCACCAATGCACTAAACTAAAATTCAAGTGGATTAAAGGTCTATATTAAAACAGAAACACTAAACTTGCTGGAAGATAAGTTAAGTAGAACTCTTGAAGACATTGGCATAGGAAAAGACTTTGTGAACAAAGTCTCAGTAGCACAGGAACTGGCATGAAAAATCAACAACTGTGATCTCATCGCATTAAAAAGCTTCTGCACTGCAGAAGAAACCATCAACAGAGATAAGAGACAACCTACAATGTGGGAAAAAATTTTTACCAGCTGCTCCTCAGACAAAGGACTCTTATCTAGAATATATAAAGAACTCAAAACAATCAGCAACCGCAAATATAAAGACCCAATTCAAAAGTGGGCATCTGAAATGAACAGACATTTATCAGACAAAGAAGTAAAAGCAGCAAGTAAATATATGAAAAAGTGTTCAGCATCACTGGTTATTCGAGAGATGCAGATGAAAACAACACTGAGATTCCACTTTACCCTAGAAAGAATGGCTATTATCAAGAAATCAACCAATAACAAATGTTGGTGGGGTAGTGGAGAGAAAAGAATCCTTCTCCATCATTGGTGGGAGTGCAGACTAGTGCAACCACTATGGAAATCAATATGGAGATACCTCAAAGAACTGGGATTAGAGCTTCCATTTGACCCAGCCATCTCTCTACTGGGTATCTTCCCAAAAGAACTAAAAGAATCATACCAGAGTGATATATTCACACCCATGTTTATAGCAGCACAGTTTGTAATAGCTAAAACTTGGAAACAGCCCATTTGCCCATCAGTTGGAGACTGGATAAAGACAACGTGGTTTTTCTATAAAATAGAATACTACTCAGCCATAAAGAGTAAGAAACTAGAGTCATTCATAGGAAAATGGATGCATATTGAGGCCATACACTTAAGTGAAATAAATATGATACACATGTAAATACTGAATAGTTTCTCTGGTGTGAAAAACTTAAGTGTAAATAAGATCCAAACTACATAACTGATTATATGAAATAGGAAGAAAGGGGCAAAAGGTAGAGGGGAAGTGGGAAGGGTAGGGGAAAGGAAATAAGGGAAAAGCAAGAAATGAGAAAAGGAAAAAATGGAACAAAGTCTTTCTAAATAGGGGACGGTGGAGGGGGTGAGGGAGGGCAGGAGTACGGGAAAAAATGAGAACCAAGATCTGTCATGTAAAGTTACAAGATTCCAATGGTGAGTATAACTTGTACTGTATACTTAAAAAGTACCAATAAACTCAATGAAAAAAAAAAATCACAGTTACATAAACTCAGAAAGTACCAATCTGAAATTAGGAGAATAAAATTTTATTTTCTTTAAAACCCAGGAACATTTTTTTGTATTTGAGGAACAAATGGCTGAGGGATCATGGGACAATAATTTGACCTTTTTGATGGACTCCTTTATTTATTAAAAAGTAGATACTTTGGGACCAGAGATTTAGCTCAGTGGTGCCTCCATCTGCCTCACAAGTACAACATCCCGAGTTCAATCCCCAGTACCAAAAGAAAAAGCATGTTTTGTATTTTGTTTTCATTTATTTTAAATATATATATAT